CAACTATTACAACACCGTGAAGTGCTGCGGACGCAAGAACGCGCGTGCACTTTCCCCGTCCCTTTCTCGGATGAAAGGGGTACACGGGAACAATGGTGGACCGATTGCGCCACGTTTTACGGGATCGTTCGCGGAGATGTGTTACCGGGACGATGTCAAGCTAGCCAGAGAGAGAGAGAGAGAGGGAGAGAAGGGACTAAGCAAATGGTGCGGTAGAAAACGAAAGAAAGTATGAGAAAGAGGTAAAGAAGGGGTGGAAGTAAGGGAAGAAAGAAGGGAGACACCGAAAGATCGCCGCGAGAGGAAACGAGCACGCAACGTGGAGGGAATAAACGAAGAACAACGTTGTCGCGTGGCCATGTGTGAGGGTGTAATAGAGAAGAAGAGAGGGTGGGAGGGAGGGGGTGGGAAGAGGGAGAGAGAGAATTAGAGAGAGAGAGAGAGAGAGAGAGCAAGAAAAGGAGTGGACCGACGACGGGAGTGTGCAAGGAGACTTCTCAGGCGTTGATAGGCAATCTAGTTGATTGCCAACTTCAAACGAACCGAAAAAGCGGAGCGAGAGAGCGAGAGAGAGAAAGAGAGAGAGAGAAGGACGCCTCCTATACAAGCCGGTGGAAAGGCAAAGCCTCGACACGAACCGGCGCAAATCTCGGAATTTCTAGACAATACGATCCGCACTCTTCCTGCATTCCGGCCCTCCGTCCTTCTTGCCGCCGATTAACGCGTCGCAGAACGAATCGATCATACTCCATTTACCATCACCGCCTCTCATTATCCTCCTCTGTCGTCTAATTACTACTTTGTCCACTGATATTTAGGAATGATTTGCATTTGGAAGTGAAACGTTCGCAACTGTGTAGCACCTGACGAAGCCTACGTCTCTTCCTACAATTTCGAAATTTCTTCTCGTTTCAGAGAATCACTTATACCTTTCAGAATGATCTTACGCTCTTTGCTGTTCGATTACGGCGAGCTTAAGTCTAAACGAAAAATGATATCGTTTGAGTTGAAATTTCAATTCGTAATTTTCGATTTCCACGAAGTGTGTAAACAACGTTGAGGCTTCTCGTCTCGGATTTTCGTGCCCGAGGGTCCATTATGCCCAAGGAACAAAAGACTCTTAATCGGCGGTGCTAGGCAGTCGGCCGTTCCACGTGACAGATCCTGCGAGTCTTTGGCGTGATCGATCTCACGGCGATCGATATAATTATTATCGGGGACAAATCGAGCAGTTGGCCGGTCTGTGCTCTCGTCTTTAAGTCTGGCCAAGATTTAAGACAAAAAGGAACGAATGAAGTGCGCCAAATAAATGCTGTACCGTAAGACGAGGTGCTAGAGTGACGTTTGAATGGAAGGGCAGATCCTTTGTGCTGCACCGGGAACCCGACACCCGAAAATCGTTCTCAAAATTCGTTATACGGATAAAATCTACGCTTCGAGTGCGATACCACGTTATTATGTCTCTACCATTTCACGAAAACTCGATTCGCCTTTTTTTTTTTTTCAAACCATCCCGATACCCTATTTTTGTCCCAAAATATCCGTGAAGCTCTCCCGCGACAATTCTCGCTTCGCACTTTTTAAAATGAAAAATCGCTTCTTGGAACATCGAAGAGATTCGGATGTTGTCACTTTTCTTTCTAGTTATTTCTCAAGTAACTTCATTTTCTTTGTTACGTGACTTGGGAAACGAGTGACTCAACGTATGCCGATTGTGTAATTAAGAAAGAAGGCCAATCAGATTCTCACGCGAGCAAGATCAAGGAGTAAGTCCGTGCAAGTTGAGAACAGTTTGCGAGAGTGCGGCCATTTTTACGTTTTGTCGAGGCTCTTTGTGTTTTGGTGAGACATTGCAGGTCTGCCCAACACTCAACTCATTATACCACTAATTATTCATAACGTTGGGGATTATTCTGACAAAAATATTCAATTCCCACAGTGCACTCACCCCAGCGCTTACCCTCTTTCTTTCCCTCGCTCCTTCTCTTCGTCTCATCTAACGTATCTGAACTCTAATTTCACGGAAACAAGCCAGCACAATTTTCGCCGCTACACACCAGAAACCTCACCTTCGCCCTCGGACCAATCGACATTACCCAAACGAAACGTCACAGCTGATCAAGCAAACCCGAATTACTTGCTACACAAATCAAACGTATCTCACGAGGCGTGAAAAGCTCGGGGGTCAGCCTAGAGACACCTAACCTCGAAAGTTTCCCCGAAAAATCATCCACGCGAAACTGGCAACGCACAATAGAGTTTGCACGTTGGAAAGGTGCTTGTCGATTTTCGGTAACACGATCTTGAGTGGCTCTCTGTTAAGTGATAGCCGTAAGTGGCACGTTAAGTGCTCGTTTCACGCCGGGACGAGGACGATACGCCTATTAATTTACTTCAGCGTAGCTAACAGGCGAGGGTCGCTGCGGGTTCAGTCTTGTCTAAAGATTGAAACACAATCCCGATGATTGCCGATCAATGAGTTATTACGATGTATCAAGACTCTCTCTATCTCTCTCTTTCTCTATGTACTCGCTAAATGCGGCAGTGGTAACGTTCGTTAACCAAGAGCCAGAGGGGAATCAATGGCTGCGTTTTAATTGGTTTCTCGCGTCTTTCTTGCCCTCTGGTCTGGCCGCTTAGAGATCGGTGTTGCAAGGAGAGAGAGAGAGCGCGGTTAAAAAGGAAGCATTGCTTGTATAGCAGCGTTAACGCGTGGCCTTTTCTTTCGCTCACACAACAAAAAAGAAAGAAAAAGAAGAAAAACGTTCAGGTCACTTTTATTGTAAAATTCGCATCTAGAGTGTGGCGGAAAAGTGAGTTGCAGAGCTAACGACTGTAGAGCCCAGAGCCACCACGGTCCAGACGTGATTTCTACCGAGGACTGCTACCTCCGCAAGATGTAGGTCTTAACGAACGTGTTAAGATTGAATTGGAGTGGTTGCTTGTTACTCAGCGGCGGCGACAATACCGCCGCATGGTTTGTGTAAAATTAATTATCAATTCTTCTGGCCGGGGCGGGAATGAAAGGAACAGTTAGAGGCTCCATTCGTGGAATAAATGGTACGGTTATAATTGTCGAAGCACAATGGGCCACGCCTCGCGAGGCGAAACGATGTGACGGAAACAATGTCATCTT